TGTACTGTGAGTTATTTATAGCTCTATTATACTCTGTAAATTTCTTCCTAAATTGTATGTGACTCATTTGTTTCAATCAACCGAACTTCTTGTAATTTCTGAATGTGCCAAGATATGTTAGTGTCTGTGCATCTGTAGAAGGTCTCTTCCTTCTGGGAAAAAAAGAAAAAAGAAAGACTAAACATTTATTATCAGGAACATCACCACAGGACCTGGCTGGTGCTGGTTCTACCATTCTTGTCTGATCCCAGATGAGATCATTTATGCTTTCTCCGACATATTAGATATTGAGTACATTATAATTATTTTCTCACTTTTTGTTTATCAAATGTCTGTAGGCGGAAACTGCTTTTCAATTCTACATTGAATCCTGTGTAGAACAGGGTCAATTATTCAATAAATTCTAAAAATAAATAGGAGTTCAATAAATGATTGAGGATTATTTTATTAATTAGTCCTATCACACATTCACTAACTTGTGAATTCTAAAGGGATAAAGAATAATATACTGATAACATAGTTCATCAGGGGCTTTTGTTAGGAAAATCTGAAATTGACCACTTAATTGTTCAGTACATTTTAATGTCAACTATATCTTTGATCTGATTTTAAAGTGTCCCTTAAATTGTTCTTCCCCTTATAAATTATCTTTTTAAAATATCAAATATGAATTATAATTACTCAAAAATTATTAAAGACTACAACAATAGAAAATGAGATTACAGCTGGGTCTAACCTGCTCTTGCTAGTTATTATATTCATACTATTATTACAACCTGTATGCTCCTCATAAGATATAGAAATGATCTCCTAAGATGTTCCTTGAGGGGGCTGGGAAGCTGGCTCAGTGGCAGAGTGCTTGCCTTGCATGCATGAGGCCCTGGGTTCGATTCCTCAGCACAACATAAGCAGAAAAAGCCAGAAGAGGGGCTGTGGCTCAAGGTGTAGAGCACTAGCCTTGAGCTGAAGAGCTGAAGGACAGTGCCCAAGAGTTCAGGCCCACAACAAAACAAAACAAACAAACAAACAAAAATCCAACAAGATGTTCCTTGAAAGGTTGGCTCTTCAGGTAGATTAGAGCACCCAATGACCCTGTGCTGTACTTTGGGGCAGGAGATAACTCAGGCAGAAAGGACAGGGGTCTGGGAAAGAAAGAGCCATAAAGAAGAGAAGGTCACTTCCATTGAACTGAAAGGAGTTCATGTGATTAGATACGATTGTAGAAAATTAAATGGCAGGATCCTTTCCTTACTCTTTATTAGATTTCAGGACAGAAATCATACCTCTCAAGGAAACAGGGGTCAGTAGTAGTACCATATTCAAATCACATGTGCATCATAGTTGTAGCCTGAAATTCACTAATATTTCATTACATAATCTTATACTTTAAGCTATCCTCTTTAAAACAGTATTGCACAAAGTTTTATACAGTTATGCTATTTTCAGGCTGAGACTCATCTCATGATCCAGGTTCCTTATTGACTCACCCAAGGGAATTAAGAAAACAAGTTGAACAAATAAAGTGCCATTAAACTGTAGCTATTAAAAGAGACAACTTTAATTGTTCCATTAAAAAACAGTTTTATCAGTCTATTTGGTTATAAACTGCAATAAACATTATAATTCAAATATTATCAAAAAGAGAAAACAAGGGAGGATCTTTGATCAAATGTATAATTTAGTACTTTGATGATTTAATTGATACATTTAATGAATAGGTTTATGTTGAGGATAATTTAAGTTTGCTTTCTGTTTATTGAGTAATAATTGTAACCTGGAGAAGTAAAATATAAAGCTAGATTCAGATGCATTCATTAGGCAATAATATCAATTTTACTTTACATATAGGAAATTCTACAAGACTTATATTTGCAAACTGGTAATGTTTCTTTCATTGGAAAGTGAATGATACCAAAAAACAAAAAGAAACAAAAATAAAAGAAGATAAACCAGTTAAATTGATTTTTGAGAAAAAAGTATGTAGACAAAATTTTGGCTAATCAAAAATAAAGTTTTTGACAAAATGACACAATAATAAAATAGTCATATAGATACAATGAATAAAATCTGTAGCAATACTTAGTATTACTTTAAGCTTCCATAGAAACACTCTCATATGACTCTACTTTCATTAAAAATCTTTTGAACATTGTGTTGCTATGTTAAGTATAATATTTCAGAAAGTAATAAAAAGCATTATATACTATAAAGTAAAAAGTTAAAATGTGCTTACTACCTTGGAAACAGAAATGCATTCAAAGTGCAAATCTTCTTTTCAATATTGCACTTACCCAAATTAATGTTTCAAATTATGCTTTGGAATACAACATCAACACTTTACCAGTTATCAACAAGAGGGACTATAAAATATATTAGCAAAAATAAAACTTCATTTTTGTTTATGTCATGATAATTGTAGATACATGGTGAAATGCTTTTTGTGAAATTAAATAGGAGAACTTTAAGAACATTTTAGATATCTCAATAGTTGCTATATGAATGTGCCCTATTTTACAACATAAAACTTTCTCTAAAATCGTTATTTTAAGAAGTATATTGGGTAGTTTGAACTACCAATATCATTTGGAGTAAGTAATCATTCTAAATTATAGACTAAAAAGTGGAAAGGTATGCATTCTCTCTCTACTACATAATTGAAATAGAATGATAATGGTAATAATCTATAGAAGTTTAGCAACCATACACTAGACAGCTCAGACATATTAATCTGTTATCCCCTTATCTGAAACATCCAGTCCACTGTCCTTGATTCTTTTAACCACTATTTCCCATCCTCCCTTTGAAAGTCAAAAGGAACCTATTACCTACATGAATCTTTTACATCATTCTAACAGTGTTTCCTTTTGAATACGTTTGCTGACACACTTTTATTATCTATGTATACTGTTTATACTCTAAATTACATTGCTGATATCTGAGACAACAACCAAAAAAAACCCAAAACAACAACAAAAAGACAAAACAAAACAAAAAAACAGCAGCAGCTTTTTTCCAAATCATAAAGGCTATCAAAACAGTGAAATATGGTGTTATTAGATTTCTTGATTATAGCGATTCTAATTGGGGTGAGGTGAATCTCAATATTGTTTGGATTTGCATTTCTTTTAGGGCTAGAGAAGTTGAGCATTTCTTCGCGTGTCTATTGGCCATTCTTATTTCTTGTTCAAAGAAGTCTGTCTTTAAGTCTTTATACCACTTATAAATCGGGTTGTTGTTTCTTTGAAGATTTGTTGTTGGGGGATTTAATTTTTTGAGTTCTAAGTATATTTTAAATATGAGACCCTTATCTGTTGTCTGGCTAGTGAAGATCTACCAATCCTGGGCTTTCTATTGGTCTTGCAAGCTATGTCTTATGCCATGCAGAAGCTCTGCAGTTTCATGTAATCCCATTTGTCCAACCTTTCTTTGATTTGTTGTGTTTCTGGATTTTTATCAAGAAAATTTCACCCTGTGACAAGGAGCCCTAGCAATTCTCCTATTTCTTCCTTCAGTCTGTCTTCTTTGACTTCGAGGTCTTTAATCCATTTGGAGTTGATTCTTGTACAGGGTGATTTATCAGGATATAACATTAGTTTTCTAGAGATGTTTAACCAATTTTGACAGCCCATTTACTGTCTTTCTTCCATTCTAATTTTTAGCTCCCTTCTCAAAGATTAGGTGGCTATAGGTTCATTTCTGTGTCTTCAGTTCTATTCCACTGGCTTTCAGGTCTGTTCTTGTGCCAGTACCAAGCTGTTTTGATTGCTATGAGTTTGTATTAGAGTTTGAAATTTGGTATTGATATGCCAACAGATGCTGGAGGGGATATGGCCAAAAGAGGACCCTACTGTATTGTTGGTGTGTATGTAAACTTCTTCAACCACTTTGGAAAGCAGTATGGAGGTTCCTCAAAAGACTTCACATAGAGCTCCCCTATGACCCAGCAATCCCACTTTTAGGTATTTACTAAACGATCACAAACAAGACCATACTAAAGCTACCAGCACAGCTATGCTTATCCCAGCATTATTCACCATAGCTTAATTATGGAACCAACCCAGAGGCCCCTCAGTAGACGAATGGATAAAGAAAATGTGGTATATATATGCTATAGAATTCTATGCCTCCATCAGAAAGAATGACACCGCTGCATTTGTTAGGAATTGGAAAGACTTGGAAAAATTATATTAAGTGAAGTAAGCCAGGCCCAAAGAAACATAGATCCCATGGTTTCTCTTATCTGCAATAACTAGTATATGTCTAAGATAAGCAGAAGAGGTCAAAAGCTATGTACATGTGAACAGATAACCTGATGCTAAACGAAATGAACCCCAGAGAGGGACAAATGTCATTCTTTCTTGTTGTTCTTTTTAATGAACTTATAATGTACTCTGTGATGATTTTTTGTTGTTGTTTCTTTGTATGTTCTTCCCCCATAGTACAACCCCTGTTGTCACTAAATTAGATTCTGGTGTCCAGCATCTTGTATATACATTTTTCTTATTTGAGGACGAGAAGGGAAATAACAAAATGCTGAAATAAGGATACAGGTTGACCCATTGTAACAACGAGATGTATAAGACACTATGCTGAAAATGACCTTTACAACTTTGGGCAGGGGAGGGAGGATTTGGGAATGTGGCGAGCAAAGGTATGGTTGGGATAAAACAGAAAGGGGTAGCAATGCTCTATAGGAAATGGACTCATTACCTTGCTGATGTAACTGTAATCCCTCTGTACAGTACCTTCACATTATATATATATATATATATATATATATGTAAAATAAAAATGGTGAAATCTTTGTATTTCATTCATTACCATAACACATATGTTGCTTAGTTAGAGAAGTAGCCGTGTTTAAACCTGTAAAGTTTCTCAGTAAGATTTTCTACACATTCACACATTACATTAAATTTTCATGTTAACAACCCACAGAAGTAGATATACCACAAGGCCAGCAACCCACAGCCATAGGTAAGATTGTTAACATTACAAACCCAGCTTGAGGATCTAAAGACAGATCTCGGGGAAACTTCAGCCTTTTGCTAACGAGTATAGTAGGGTACAAGCCATTGAGTTTGGATACTTCAATAATCCTTTTTTCTGTGTCAGACCAGTAGAGGTTTTTTCCAATCCAATCAACAGCAAGTGCATTGGGGACAGCTGTGTTATGCACTACCTAACAAAATAAGAATTTAAAAAGTTAACAGTATAAATGCCTAGAAGAAGAACTGAGCAATTGTTTTTTTTGATTTTTACCAAGATAAAAATTCTATTTAAACATTTGAATTGGAATTTAGATAAGAAAAGAACAATCAAGCACAATATAATTACTACTTGTTTGAGAGAAATTGTCTAATACATAATCAGGCCCCTAGGAAATACATACGAGTTTAAGAATAAAAATACAATCAAATTAAAAAGAAGTTGAATAGATGCACAGTTGGTGATCACATTTCCATTAGAGTTTATCTACTCATCCTCATAAAAATTGGGACAAAGCTTCTATTACAAGTACACACATACACTTATCGGTATTATTTATTCCTAACAGCTTCTGGTATGATTTCATTCGTATTCATTACACTCCCCACTGTCCTTCCCCTGTTAAAATGACTACAATAAAAGATCAGAATGTGCACTAAGTAATCTGAAGATAAACAATGGTGAGTGAAAATATACTCTCATATATATATAAAATCAAACTTAATCAATTTCAATAATAAATGCAATAAACATAGTTTTGTATATAAAAGTGATACATAAAAATGATCAATTATCTTTGGTTCTGTTGCATATATTTCTGAGTTATCTGTATATTTAGTTATAATTGAAAGGACTATTAAACTAGAAGCTGCAAGAAGCCAAGTTATATTAGTAGAAAGAAGAAAATTCTGAGATTTTTTGTTTTGTTTTGTCATTTTGTCAATCATGGGACCTGAATTCTGGGCCTGGGCAATGTCCCTCAGCTCTTCAGCTCAAAGCTAATGATCTACCACTTGAACCACAGCACCACTTCTGGCTTTTTCTGCTTATGTGGTGCTGAGGAATTGAACCCAGGGCCTCATGAATGCAAGGCAAGCACTTTAACACTGAGCCACATTCCCAGCCCAAAAATTCTCAGATTTAAAGTTAACTGCTTCCCTAAAACTATAAATTATGAGTTTAAAATTAGTAATTCTAATAATGTTGATCTACTGTGTTAATAACTTTATTGCTTTTTTCCAAATTCTAAATTTGGAGATTAATATAGCAGGCTATTTAGCTGACACACTTGAATTTATTAATTTATTATAAATAAAAATACTTTTCTGCAAATTTGTGCTATGACATCATATAAAATTAACATCTGCTAAGATGGCAGATGGCGTCTGTTAAAATGTATCTTTAGCCAGGTACCGGTGGCTCATGCCTATAATCCTAGCTACTCAGGAGGCTGAGATCTAAGGATCACAGTTCAAAGCCAGCATAAACAGGAAAGTCCGTGAGACTCTTATCTACAATAAACCACCAGAAAACCATAAGCGGTGCTGTGGTTCAAGTGGTAGAGCACTAGCATTGAGCTGAAGAGCTCAGAGACAGCACCCAGGCCCAGAGTTCAAACCCCATGACTGAGCTCCCCCCCCCAATTTTTTTTAATGTATTAAAGCATCCTGTAGTACTAGCTACTCAGGAGGCTGAGATCTGAGTATCCTGGTTCAAAGTCAGCCTAGACAGAAAAGTCCATGAGTTCTTTGTTTTTTTTAAAATTTAATTTATTTTATTTTATTTGTGAACATACTGTACAGAGGGGTTACAATTACATGGGCAGGATAATGCATACATTTCTTACCAAGCATTGCAGCCTCCTCCT